GGGTCAGCAGCAATACTTAACTAATTGGTTTCCCGGCTAATTAGAAGAAGTGGAGAATATATGCCTAAAATTCTTTCCATACTGGGAAGATCTGATTCTCCCTGTTAATATGTTCAACTAAGCTGTGCCTACAGATTGTTCTTTCTTTTAGCTTCAGCTTAACCATGACTCAAGCTCATCTCCATTTTACCCTCATATAGGAATCTTGCCATATTACCACATTTTATTCTGAACCTGCTATAAAGGCAATTAGTCATTCATTATAACACAAAAATTCAAACTGGTTGCAATTATGTTTTCTGAATCAAAACCATACCCTTTGATGTGGATAATTTAAAGTTCTATGTTTAAAATGCATTGAATGAGTCATAATGGTAAGTAAGAAGACCCTTAAACTAGCATTCATATCTTCTGCATGTGAAAAAATTAAATGGATAATTTCTACCTATGACAAATTTATTTTTGTGGTGGAGAATTTTAAAGAATGGATTTAATTAGCTGTAACTATGCTCAGAAGCATAATTTGAAGTACCATTGAATGAATGAAGAAAGTATTTTCAAGAATAGAAAAAGCCCTCTTAAAATTCCCTTTTGTTCATTACTCAACAAATGTTTATTAAGCAGCCACAGTTTGCCAGGCAATGTACAACTTAATGATAACCTAACCTGGCATCATTCTACTCTAGCTCTGTACTTAATTGAATGAGTTAATCTCTTCGGCTGTCCATTCACAGTATGTGAGGAGAAACTGTAGAAATTAAATGAATGAGTCAGTCTGAAAAGAAACATGGATGTGGGTATTTAGGTTTCCTTTTGTTCTGCATGCTAAAGCAGGTTACTAGCTAACTAACTTTTCTATTTCTTCAGGGATCCAGGAATTTAAAAAGAATCTTATCTCACTCAGGCAGTGATCTATATGCTTAATCATGAGTTTCTAAATGTTTATAGAGGTGAGAACAGCAATTTGCAAGATTCTACAGATATGGAAAGGAAAAACAGCACAGTAAGTTTAGGCAGATAAGGGGAAATGTACTTTGAGGAATAGTTCCCATTCGAAAAGTAATTTTATACTTAATAATATAGAATAGGTTCAGCATTTTAGAGCTGGACCTTAAAGCTCATCTAGGTCACTGGTTTCCAACCTTCTGCATTAGAGTCACTGGATTTTAAGAGTCTCATGCTCTACCGACTGAGCTAGCCGGGTGCTTGAGTCACTGGATTTTAAATCTCCCTAGAAATTCTAATTCATTTGGTCTGGAAGGGGTTTGGAGGGGAGGCAGGCATGCATATACTTGTAAAAGTTCCCCAACAGTCAAAGCTGAGACCCACAGATCTAGTCCAGCCTTGACATTTTTGGTATGAGGTCCCTGAGGTCTTTATTTAATTAATTCATTTATTTCATTTTAAGTAGGCTCCACGCCCAGTGTGGAGCCCAGCACGGGGCTTGAACTCACAACCCTGAGATTGAGACCTGAGCTGAGATCAAGAGTAGGACGCTTAACAGACTGAGCCACCCAGGCGACCCCCTGAGGTCTTTAAAGAATAAATAACTTGCTTAGGATCAACACAGCTTACAATGCTTGGAGCCTGACCTAGAACCCAAATATCCAAATTCCTAGTCTGTATCTCTGTTTACTAAACCAACTGGCACTGTTTTACTTCTCTCACTCAGTAGTTGAGATCTAATTACCAGTTAGTAATAGAAAGTTCAAGACAGCTATAACCCATGTGACTCCCAAGTCCCCTCCCCCTAATGACCTGTGTGGTTCCTTTCTTGCTAAGTACTGAATAAATCTTCTGATAACATTGTAATAATTAATATGTTTATGCCACATTTTTAAATACTTCACTTATTTAAAACTTTTGCATCTATAAAATATATCATTCACATTTTAAGACAAAGAAAACAGATTCAATATTTGAATCTGAGTCCAATTAAAGTCTTCATTTTTGATCTTATATAGCTGGGCACATCAAGATACTCTAATGTCAGGCATCATTCTACTCTAGCTCTGTACTTAACTGAATGAGTTAATTGAATGGTTTTCTTAGCCAGCTTCCTTTTATGATAATGTCTTTAGGTTGAACACTTCCACTGGGTTCTGAAAGCTCCATGCAAGTAGGGCTCTTGTCCAACTTCATCAACTGTTTCTGAGGACCTAGCAAAATGCCTGCCATAGACTCAACACTCAATAATTCATTGTTGCATGAAAAATCCTTCATTATATTTTGTTAAGAAATGAGATGGAATGTCTTAAACCAACTTGTATAGAATAATCCCATATAAATAAAAGTACCAGGGAGATGATTTTATAAAGGAGTAGATTTACAGTTACTTTATTATAAGAGCTCTGGCCTGATTTTCCTGCCATAAATTTGTCCTTGCTGTACCATTTGGATTACAGTTGGGCTCTCATTCATACTATGTTCAAGTACTTCACTCAAGATATCTTTTACATGTGGCTGAAGGCACAACTGATATGCAATAAACACCGATAAAATAAAACTCATACCAAGTTTTCTTGTGTTTTGGGAAACATAAGCCTTGGTATTATCTGGCAAAATAAAGAGTGCCCTGCCTTTGGTAACTCCCAGGGGTTGAACAGTATTGTGGAAGGCAGTGAACTCATTTCAAAAGAAGATTCAATCGATGGTTATTTAGAACTAAATTTTTATTTTTACTATTTATTTATTTATTTGAGAGAGAGGGAGAGACAAAGAGTGAGAATATGAACAAGTGGGAGGAGGAACAGAGACAGAGAATCTCAAGCAGGCTCTGCACTGAGCGCGGGCCCGACACAGGGCTCCGTCTCACGACTCATGAGATCATGACCTGAGTCAAAACCAAGAGTTGGTCACTTAACTGACTGAGCCACCCAGGCGCCCCTAGAACTAAATTTTTATTAAGCAGTTCATTTCAATCCCACCTTTCCAACTCCACCATTTTGACCCAACCACACACCGAGATTCCATACATTTGATTCTACTAAGGCTATTTGCACTTTACCCTGAGGTTGCAGTTTTTTTAGTGTTTTATTTAATTCACATAGAAACAATCAACATAAAATACCACTGACATCTGTTAAAATGACCCATGTTTAAATATGGTAGAGATAAATAACAAAAGAATCAATGTTAAAAATTGACACTAGAAAACAGGTGTTGGTGAGGATGTGGAGAAAAAAGGAACCCTCGTGCACTGTTGGTGGGAATGCAAACTGGTGTAGCCACTGTGGAAAATAGCATGGAAGTTTCTCAAAAAGTTAAAATAGAACTACCATATGATCCAGCAATCACACTACTAGGTATGTCCCCCAAAATTACAAAAACACTAATTCAAAGGGACACATGCATGCTGATGTTTACAGCAGCATTATTTACAATAACCAAGTTATGGAAGCAGCTCAAGTGTCCATCAATAGATGAATGGATAAAGAAAATGTGATATATATAGATACACACACACACACACAAACACACACAATGGAATATTACTCAGCCATAAAAAAGAATGAAATCTTGCCATCTGCAACGACATGGATGAAGCTAGAAAGTATAATGCTAAGTGAGTAAGTCAGTCAGAGAAAGAAAAATAGCATATAATTTCACTCATATGTGGAAATTAAGAAACAAAACAAATGAGCAAAGGGAAAAAAGAGAGAGAGAGAGAGACAAACCAAGAAACAGACTTAACTCTAGAGAACAAACTGATGGTTACCAGAGGGGAGGTGGGTGGGGGGATGGGTGAAACAGGTGATGGGGATTAAGAGTACACTTATCATGATGAGCACTGAGTAATGTAGAGAATCGCTGAATCACTGTATTGCACACTTGACATTAATATAATACTGCATGCTCACAATACAGGAAAGAAAATGAAATGCTTGATTAGGGCATCTGGGTGGCTCAGTCGGTTAAGCATCTGTCTTCAGCTCAGGTCATGATCTGGGATCCCGGGATCGAGCTCAGCAGGGAGTCTGCTTCTCCCTCTGCCCCTCCCCCTACTCCTTCTCTCTCTCTCTAATAAATAAATAAAATCTTAAAAAAACAATTTAAAAAATTAGATTGCCTAAAAAAAATTGACACCAGACAATTAGCCATGGTAGAAATATTCAGCACCATATAGTGAATGTTTAATCTCTGATATATAGCTGAGATGAACTAGAGGACTGGAGGGGAAACAGGTATACATTCAGGGGGTTAATCTTAGGTCTAACATTAACATTAAAGCCAATGTTAATGGAAGGAACTAGGCTGTGAATGGGCCACAAATTTGCTAGCTAAATTTTCCTAAATTTAGGAAAAATTTACAATTTCTAAAATTTCCTAGCTCAAGGCCAGGTACACAGCAGGGATTCAGTAAATGATTTTTTGAATGAATGAATGATGTGTAAGTGAGTAAATGAACAAAGGGTCCTCTATATAGATGTAGAGTATAATATTTGGATCTGGAGGCTTGGCTTTAAAACAGTCCATTCAAAGTTATGGATCAATAAACTAGATTTTGGGAAAGTCAGTGCTGAATATAATGTAAGTGTTTCTGTTTGTTAATTAAAATGACCACGAAGTCGTTATTCTTTTTTTTTTTTTAAAGATTTTATTTATTTATTTGACAGAGAGACACAGCGAGAGAGGGAACACAAGCAGGGGGAGTGGGAGAGGGAGAAGCAGGCTTCCCGCCAAGCGGGGAGCCCGATGCGGGGCTCGATCCCAGGACCCTGGGATCATGACCCGAGCTGAAGGCAGACGCTTAACGACTGAGCCACCCAGGCGCCCCCAAAGTCGTTATTCTTACTCTTAATTTTTCAGCCTGAAAGTTAATAAACTATATCTGTTCCATGAATAATTGAGTTGAACTTGAAAGAGAACTCCACATTCCAAAAGCCTCCCACACTACCAGTTAACTGTGATTTATCCTTTTACTTCTGAAGAATTTTAAGCATCTTCCATCTGATCTGACTGACAATCAATCTGTGCTTCCTCTGTCTTTATTCTCCCAGGAAGAAGATGTTACTCGTGAAAGTCGTTTTAATTTCAGTGGTTATGGGATGGGTCACTGCCTCCAAGTGAAAGATGGAACAGCTGTCAAGGCCACACCTGCCAACCCACTCCCACAACCCCCAAAAGATGCAGATGCCATCAAGAAGAAGTTCGTGGACCGGGCAAAAAGGATTGACACGATATCTCGAGCTGCCTTCCCGTTGGCCTTCCTCATTTTCAACATCTTTTACTGGATCACATACAAGATCATTCGGCATGAAGATGTTCACAAGAAATAGATGTGCCCTTCAGACCCTGGACTTTCTTGCCTAACTATTGTGCTTGTAAATACACAGTGAAATTGTCTTTATATCACTTTGACAGAGGAGGAGACCGGGGGAGGGGGGCGGGAAGATCATGAGAGCAGGTTTCCTGGCACCTACATGAATAAAGATAAGTTATCTGGGCAATGAAGGAAAATGTTTGCACAAAATTAAGGTGTTACAGAATCATGTGAGCATAATTCTCTTCACAGTCTTTAGCATTGTTCTTTCAGATGATGTATTAATTAGACATGATATGCAAGGTCAAGTTCTCGAAAGCTATTTGTCTTTGGTTTGGTCTGGTTTTGACTAATTCTGGTACTGAAAAGTTAGCTTAGACCACACACACACACACACACACACATACACACACACACATGGAAAATGCTTACCATCTGACCATAGTGACTAGCCTATAGTGAGTCAAGGACCAAACTTTTTCAGGAAAATGCTGCCTCGTTTTTAAAACAAGTACTCTGAGCCACAGAGTCTGAGCTACAGTTCTTTACAATGTCTGTAATTAGTGTTTCACCTGAGAAATCCTTTTGTGGGTCATAAATTATTTCTACTTATTGAGAAAAAAACAACAGAAAATAAACACCAACCACAAAGAACAGATTTCTACTTTACTGTCCGTGTAGGTGTGCAATTTAATATTATTTTTCTTTCCTAAATGTAATTTGGGGGTTTAAATTGTGTGTCATAACTGATTTGATAGTATACCCTCTTAAAAATAAATGCCCATTTTATTTTAGATCCCGATCAGCACACTGTATTTTTTTCGCTTTAGCTATATTTACATGTGACTTTAACTGCTCAAGTGTGACTTAGCCATTGCAACCTCTTGGCCACAGTATTTATGGAGATGGTGTGTCCTGAATGGTGTAGCTCATATTAGCTTGAACTTTCCATTTCTGCTCTCATTGTAGGTGTAACTACTAGTCCTAATGTCAAATGACCCATGATTTCTACTGTCAATCAAGTGAATATTGTTTTAAATATCCTTAACTAACTTAAAGAATTTTAAAATTGTACTGTGATTTTCATAACCTGTTGCCTTTTTGGTACCAGAGCTACGTGGTTTGAATCCTGGCTACATGTTTTAAGTAAGAAAAAATAAATAAAAGACGTATTTTTGCTTACTCAGATAAAAGACAACCTGTAAAAATATAATGAAAAACTTAAATTTTACATGTGCTGTCAAAGGGATTATTAAAAATATTTGTTCAATTTCAATAAAGCTAAGTGTGCCACAAAACTTCCCTAAGAGTCTTGCCATTTTTGCACCACAATGTAAGTAAGTTGGATGACAATGGTAACTTGGATTTTTGTTTCTGGTCTTTCTCACAAACTTAAAGCACTTAGAGCTATGATGTTCTGCCCTAATATAATAGTTGCTTATAGTGTCCCCAGGAAGAAAGGAAAAATATTATTCTCCTTGCAGAAACAGAGAAACAGGTATGTGGAACTACTGGGAGTCACCGTGGGCAAAATGAATAGTGGATACTTCGTATGAGCTCTGCAAAAGTTCCAAGAACACTGAGGGATCATGAAATACCAAAATGAAAAGAAATTTAAAAGAACAATCTGTCCACCTAGCCATCCTGGTTTTGTCAGGAATGGAGTTCTATGATGAAAAAAAAAAAATCTGAAAACCTCAGTGAAGTAGAGGAAATTCACCTTAACCCCTTGCAGATTTTCCTTAATCAAAGAAATCCATCATCATATTTTCAGATAAGATGCAGATTTATAAGTTGATGTTTATGGCCTTTTAAACCTATTCAAATATTGAATCATTTCCATAGAGAGGAATATTGTAGAATGGCTAAAAGCAGGAATTTTGCAGATAGAAAGATTAGCTTGGCCACCTATCAACAGTGTGATCTTGGATAAGTTACCTGACTTTTCCTGAATAGCTCCTGTTTCATAGAGTTTTAAGAGGATAAAATGAGAAAAATGCAAGTAAAGCCATTAGCTTAGTGTCTAACACACAGTAAATTTCCAATAACTAATAGATAATAGTAAAATTCTTATTATCATGAATAGTATTGGTTATCCACTGGGAAAGAAGCTTTACAGTTCCTCACCTTGGCAAGATTAATGCTATGTTTTTTGTATCATTCCTAAAACATCATTTCTGTCCTATTGCTCATTCCTTTCCAAACAAATAAGGCAAAGTCTTTGATTGTTCTCATTTCTCTTCCTCCCACTAAAAAGTAGTAAACTGAGGCTAAAATGCCTTCCAAACATGGGCCTGACTCCGTAAGTATCTTAGGAAGAGCCCTGATGTTGCTTATGGAGGGATGGGGAGGCACCTTGGGGGATAATCCTAAGCTAAATGATCATATCTAATCAATGTGTGTACCATATAATTTTCAGGGGGGTGTGGTCCCCACATCAGACAGTTTTAAAAAAGATTCTCCTCTAAACATACCTGCCAGCCACTCAAGTAGGCAAAGACATCCTGGATGGCAAGAGGGATTCTTGGCTTATCTCTGATTCTAGTCTACATTCAGTGGAAAGAATTCTTCAGTGCACTGATTTGAGTTATATAAATAAGATAAAATCTCAGGGAAAAGATTTTTGGGCTGCATACTCTGGCAAAATAGATAACTCCCCTATAATGTTATTGGAGATTTTATTTAGGACATCTTTCTTTCATAATAGTATTTGAAGGAAAATAGTTCAAGAATAAAAACATGGATCTGAGGAAGAGAACTTACCAGTTTTTATTAGATTGGAAGCTTCTGGAAGAAAGTGGCTATGTTTTCGTGGGTTCTCTGCACTGCCTGCCAAAGCTCAAATGCCCAGTGAATGTTATTACTACAGCTAGGAAAAAGTTGGTGAGGGAGGATATGATGTGCCTATTGACAAAGTTATATAAGTTTTTCCCAACAAAGCAATGACATGAAGTAACCAAATACTGCTACCATTTCTCAACAATGGATTAGTGGGAGATTTGTCTTTTAAATATTTTTGAATTCCTACCATTCGGTTTTAACAACAGATCGAGATGACTTAAGGCTTAAGACTCTTTATGGCATTCTCAAACACCTTGGCCCCAAACAGATGCTACAAACCAGACTTGCTGTAGATATTTTTAAAATCCTTCCAGTGTTAGCATTAAGCTCCTCATTTGTGCTGCTGAACGGAACTGCCAAATTCTGAAACCAAATTTTCCAATAAAGATTAAATGAGTATCATTTTATAATATGCTTAGTCAACTAATATCAAATAAGAAAGTTCTATCCAAAACACAGCACAAAATTCCCTATCATAAGATTCACAGTTTTGGAAAAAAAAAATCTATTGAGAATTTTTTTTAATTTATGCATTTCCTAGTTTAAGCCCGAAGCCAATTTGTGGAATGAATATAAGTCATATGTCTGCCAGATATATTTTTTTTAATCTTTCAGCCTCTGCTTTAAACTCTTTCTTATTTTCACCAATTTGGGTTTTCTTAAGTATAATTTAAATGATTCAAGTAATGCATGCTCTTCATAGATCACAAAGTAGAACTAAAGATAACACCACAACCTCATACTCATACAGTGCTTTCAACATATCAGAATGTTTTGATGTCCACAATAGCATTCAATTCTAATAATTGTCCAAGGTGGCCAGATCCAAAGGATCATATCCATCCTTTGGTCAATAGATAAACAGAAGCTCCATGAATTAAATGCCTCACCCAAAGTCACCTGTCATATTGGGGGTTGAACATCCAGCATAATTTGTTTCCTAACTCCTCAGACTCTTACCTGTTCACTATATACACTGTGTTTAGGAAAATAAAAGCTGAGAAAGTAAAAAGTCATAGTACCACTGACTCACTCTCATGGATGACAAAATAATTTGGTAAAAGAGGGCATATAACAGATTTCTGTTGAAAATGCCTAAGAGAAATTAATACTACATACAGCATTAAGAATATCCTCACAGAGAGTAATATCTTATGCAATTGATGGCCAAAAAGATACTGGGGGTGACAAAAGACCAGCAGAACTCAATTTAGGAGGTGTTATTTCCATTCTTGAAAAAGGGAAAATGACCTTCACATTGTTACACATGCCCCACATAAGAAAAAAATGCAATATTCCTACTTTGATGCAAACACAATAAAAATAATAAGTAATATAGGGCGCCTGGGTGGCTCAGTTGGTTAAGCTTCGGGCTCTTGATTTCGGCTCAGGTCATGATCTCAGGGCCGTGGGATCAGGCCCGTGTTGGGCTCCGCGCTCAGCATGGAGTCTGTTTGAGATTCTCTCCTGCCTCTAACCTTCCCCCTGCTTGCATGCTCTCTCTCAAAATAAATAAATAAAATCTTAAAAAAAACCAAGTAATATAGTTTCCCCCAAGCTGAAGGTAGTGTATATGTGATGCTTTTAGACCATGAATCAGCATTTAGAAAGCACATTATCACCTTGGCACAAATGACTCATAAATAGGTGAATGTGTCTTCAAAGAGGAGAACAAAGCTCTGGGGTGCTCTTTTGAAGTGTGTATAACACTGGCCTTCTGGTAGGACCCAGGGCTGGTCATGAAATGGACAGCTTGGCCAGTCCTCATGCAGACTGAAGCCTCATGAGAGGTTCCAGGTCCCCAAAAATAATAGAATCAAGAGCTAGGAGACCCTTCATGTGCCAGGATCAGAACTAACGAAGACTTCATCAAATCCAATAGATAATCATTTCCTGAGCTACTCCTGCTTTCTAAGGAGAAAGATGTAGAGGCAGGGTAGTGAGAAAGGGAAAAGAGATCAAAGAAATACAGTAGTCAGAAAGTTCCTTTTAAGGCATAAATCAGATCATGTCACTCTGATTTAAATCTCCAATGGCTTTCTGACTTAGAGAATAAGCCAGAATCTTCATTATGGCCACGTGATCTGACCTCCCTACCTCTCTCCCATCACCTTCTCCTATCCCCTCTCCCTCCAGGCATACTGGCAGGTGCTTAAACATACCAGCCACAGTTCTACTTCAGAGTATTGCATTTGCTGTTTCCTCTGCCTGGCACCCTCTTCCTTAGACCAGGATTTGCGAAACTTTTTAAAGGCCAGACAGTAAATTGTTTAGGCTTTGCAAACCATACAATCTCTGGGCTATTATTCAACTCTGCTATTGTGTATGAAAGCAATCATAGACAATATGTCAACAAATGAGTGTAGCTGTATCCCAATAAAACTTTATTTACAAAAACAAGTGGCAAGCCAGATTTGCCCCATGGGCAGTACTTGACCAACACGTGCTCTAGATACATACAGGGCTTACTCACTCATTTAATTCAGGCCTCAGCTCAAATGTCTCTCTATCAGAGAAGGCTTCTCTGACCATCCTATATAAACTAGTACCCTCCAACCATTATACTCTATTACTCAT